CATGAGCAAAGTATGTATGATGATGGACTAGAAATCATTAAGAAAAAAAAAAAAAAAAAGAAAAAAAAAAAAGGTAAATAAAGCCAGGAAAAAAGAAGTCATATTGGGGGTGTGGGGGGTCGAGCCCAAAAAAAAAAAAAAGTTTGTTTATCTGGCCATAATTATGAATTTTGATATTTATAAAAGGGTAATTTCTTTAACATAAAAATACAGAGACGTCTCAAAAAAAATTCCCCTTCTAATAGTGCTAGTTTGGTAAAGATAGCTTCAGAATTGATGGTTTTACATGTTTTTTAATAGATGGGGGGTGTCTCTGTGTCTGGGTTTTATTTTGATTTTGATTTTGTTTATGCCTATGAATGGATACGATAAATTGTCAGTTAATGTTATTTCCCCATACTTTAAATATCCCACGTATATAAAAAAAAATCTCGTTCTAATGGTACTACTTTCATCGCGATAGCTTTAAAACTGATGTTCTTGCACGCTTATTATAAATGGGGGGATTGTTCTGAGTTCCAAAAAGTATTGATTTATTAAAAAAAAAAGAAAAAAAAAAGAAAAAAGAAAAAAAGAAAAAAAAGATGATACTACCAGCTCGAAATCGTGAGCCAAAGTCATGATACAAGACTGATCTCGGGACTCCTAATGCATACAGCTGTGATCTACGTCGTATCAAAATTTGGTCATGAAAGGTCAAGTACCCGTCAAATAGACAGTGGATGTGAGATGTCGGTTTCGTCGTTTGTATGATGGATGTGATAATAAAGTTGGATGATACATTATCAGAAAAACAACGTAGTCTTGTTGATGATACATTCACTAGATTATTCAATAGGAAAGATAACTGTCATCAGTGTATAAGCGCCAATAGTGATGTTCATTTTTTATCCTTATCCCAATCGTCATTCCTCCATGTAACTATAGTGACGCTGATCTGTTTATAAATAAGCAATATTTTATAGACATGGTGTGAATCCGTCGTAATGCCTCACCCAAAATAGTGTTATTCAGTCTACTCATTATCCTAATCCAAATACCTAGTTAAAAAAAAAGAAAAAACAAAAAGAAAAAAGGGTGGTTACCTTTCTGCTTCTTACTGATGATATCGCTGCCCATCTTTTGCAATATCGACAATCCACTCTTTATCATATAGATACTTCTAACTTAATTATCGCACTTACGTTGACTTGGATATACATTATCTAAAGAAAAAAAGAAAAAAAGAGTAAAGAAAAAAAGAGTAAAGAAAAAAAGAGTGAAGAAAAAAAGAAAAAGAATCCACAGAAAAGAATTTTTTTTTTTTTTTTTTTTAGAACAGCAGCCGAAAATATTACCCGGTACATTATTGTGTTACGCTTAATAAAAAAAAAAAAAAAAAAAAAAAGGAACAAGCTATTAATTGCGTCGAGTATAATAGCGTTGAGAATAATAATCTTACAGAATTTAAAAGAAGCAATCATATCCTCCCCACGATTACACAAGATGTAATTGTTTATAGAAAACAAGAGGTTTTCGTTTTTTTATACGGAGAGTTTTAAGCGCCATTTATACCTAATATTTTTAGCCTGCCAAATCAATAAATGAAACATAACCTTTCCCAACACATGTGTCGACTTTAATCATTGATATAAATTATATTTCAAAGTGCTCACATTTTTAACCCCCTTTTACACATTTATACATTTTATCTATTTTTCTCATAAGCACTAAACATGGCCCCTCCAAAACGGCCATGCTTCTGTGATACGTGCACGGCGGACGCAGATTATGTTATGGTCTGCCAGTCAACTCTCAGACGACATTATGGGAAAACTGATAAACGTGTTTGTGAAGAACGACGTAAACAATATTTAATGTCGAACGGAATAACACAAGGTATGTATCTTAAATACACCGTAAATACAACATACACATAAACTGATCTTTTTTTTTTTTTTTTTTTTTTTTTTTAATAGTTGATTCTATGAACCGTAATTATGGACCCACTTCTGTCGATGCGGAAGGCGACAGCTTAATGGATGATCCACATGGAGCGGATGATTTTGATGAACATTGTGACGAAGGTAAGACTTGTATATATTCACAGTTTTTTATATCCACCAATATACTAAAATTGTCTTACAAAAAAAAACAATAGATATTATACTGGAATCTGAATATGTAAGCGACACTGAGTCCGAGGATAGTACCAACGAAGATGAAGACACTTCTGGTAATACGTCTGGTGATACTCCTGGTGAAACTTCCGGTACTGCTTCTGGTGATACTTCGGATTCACGATTATTTCCTTCGGAACCTCTCGCGTTTGTGTTCTATCTTATGATGCTCTTTTTAAACGCCCATCTTACTGAAGATGCCAGTGAAATTATCATGGGTTTTTTAATGTCGCACTTGAATTGATGGAGATGAGCTATAGATTTCCACGAAAAAAGTCTACATTCGAAAACCGATCTGGTGTGAATAGCTATTTGTTCGACGGTGTCAAACAATACGTTGATTGTTTAAAGTGCCACAACCTTTATTCAATTGAGCACGACCAGCTCCACCGTCAGGCTAACTTTAAATGCAAATCTGCTACCCGTACCGATCAACTGGGTAATGTTTCACGAACATGTGGCGAACCTCTGTACACTGTCACAAAAGCTAAAACGTATCTACCAAGGGCAGTGTACATGTACAATTCAATCATTGAAACGTTACGAAAGTTCTATATGCGCGATAATTTTGCCAATTCCGTCAAGGCTTGGAAATCAAGAAATCTTAAAGATGATGACCATTACTATGACGTGTATGATGGTGATGTTTTCAAGAGCTTCAAGATAGACGAACAAGATACCACTCCGTTTGTTGATCAGTCCGACCATAATCTGATGCTTTCTATTGGTGTAGATTGGTACCAAAATTACACCTACAGTTCTCATTCTACCGGTGCCATCTACTTGTCAATCCTTAATTTGCCAAAGCAAATGCGTGACACAAGACCGTACGTTATGCTTGCAGGGTTGATGCCAGGTCCGAAGGAAAGCAAGTTGGATGAAATCAACAATTATTTGGCTCCTCTGGTTGAAGAACTGATGTTATTAAAAACTGGTGTTACTATGTCCTTGCCAGATAATACGTCTGTTTTTGTAAGAGCTGCACTGACTCTCGTAGTTGCAGATCTTCCTGCCGCCGCCAAGCTATGTGGTTTTTCTTTCTTTAACAGCATTTGTGCTTGTCGAAAATGTGATCGGCGTTTCCCTGCTCTCGTACCTGGCCTTCCTGGTCGTGATTATTCTGGCTGGGAAGATCACAATTGGCCTCGTCGTAACAAGGCAAGCAACTTGAGGTATGCCAAGGAGTGGAAACGTGCTACTACCGAAGCTAAAAGGGTCTCTCTGGTTCAGGAGAATGGTACAAGATGGTCTCAGCTGCATTTGCTTGACTATTTTGACCCTGTTCGTTTTACAGTCTACGATAGTATGCACAATCTTTACATGGGCACAACTAAACGAATCTTGTCAATGGTCTGGATCAAAGAAGGTCATCTCACCAAAAATCATTTAAAAGAGATGGCTTTAATGAGTGACAAGATTATTCTTCCGTTTGGTTATGACTCTGGTTCAATCGCGAGAAAGATACTGGTTGGAGATGGATTTTCGTACATGAAAGCTGCAGAATATATGGTGTTCACCGTATGTCTGTCTCCCTTGCTCCTGAAGGGACGTCTCCCTGTTGACATGTATGCAAACTGGATGTTGTTTGTCGAAGCGGTACAGCTCATGTCAACAACCAGCATTTCGAAGGAAAATGTTACCAAGGCTCATGGCCTGTTACGAAGTTTTTGCATCGGCTTCACCCGCTTGTATGGTAAAGAGAGTTTATATCCAAACGCTCACAACATGTTACACTTGGCTGAAGGAATAAAAGATTATGGCCCCTTATGCTCTCATTCGGCCTTCTTTTATGAACGATGCAATAAGGACCTCAAGAATGTCAGTACAAACAAAAAGCCCAAGTTTGAACACACGGTCATGTCGACTTTTTTGAAAACTGTCCATCATGTCGACCTGACTCGGACATTCCCTTCATTGGGTCTTGGTAACAATTTGGATACAAGGTTGAAGAATTTGTTTATCGGTGTTGATATTCATGCCACCCGGCAGTATTATGTGGAAAATATCTTGAAAGCGGAAATCTTACAGTCCATATCTACTTTCGATATTTTTGCGTTCCTAGCATACGGCGACACAACGAGTCCAAGTGAAGCCTACGGTCATGAAGTGCTGCCCCCAACCACTATCCGGCATTTAAAGTTCAACAAGAAACCATTTCGACTGTCATATGCCCAATTCGGTCACCTGGTTGATTATTATCGCTCTATATCCGTGGAACTTGATAATTGTTTGTTGAACGGTACTCAACCCGAAAGTAGGGTAAGCAACTTGATGGTAAAGTTCAATACAATCAGCATCATGGGTCACAAGTACAACTCAAATGAAACAGCTTCAGCCCGAGGTAGTTTTATAAGAGCATATTACAACCCCAACGTTGCTGGTATGTCTCCTCAGTTGCGGCCTGCTCAGATCAAATTTTTCTTCAGACATGACGTACGTCTTCATGTCGTAGATGACATTTATGTCGTCTCCACTTTCACCTTTGCTTTTGTTCATTTTTACAAGCCCCACCAAACGCTGATCACCACGTTCAATTCGATCAACAGTGGAGTTTGTCAAAATACTTTTGAAGACGAGTCTGAACTTTGTATCCTTCCAATTGCAAACATTCACTCACCTATTGGTATGTACTTTGATGTTTTGTCTAATACCAATATATTTTTTACTGTTCATAGAAAATTAATAGAACAATAAAATTGTTTTATTTTTTTTAAATGTATTTTTAATTTTTTTTTATTTTTTTTTATACAGCTTTGGACCAAGCAGGAAGTTTTCTCTCAAGATCAGGATGCAATGCCGTTACAACCACAGAATCAACTCTTTTCTTTTCACCCCATTTTCTTGTTGCTTCATCGTCATGAACTTTGTCAAGCCTTTTGAAGAAATCATTCAACTGAAAAGGAAGGTATCACAAATGTTAGTAATTTTTAAAAATTGTCATATTAATTGGACTTACATTCTTGGATCTCCAAGTTGGCACCTGACGATCCAGCAATGTTTTATCGCCGGGAACGTCCTCTTCGTCCGACTGGCAACCGTTTACCAGAACCTTCAAACATTCAGCGGCCGTTGCGAAAGCAGGTGTTTCCTCGGGATGGCTTTTGTAGATGGCCAATCTACGAGCGAGTTTCTAACAAGAAAAAGGTACTCTTTAGCATTTTTTTTTATATTATTTATTTTAAAAGTCTCACTTACTCTGCTTCTTCTCTCCTTGACCCTTTTCTCTGTCCTTCTTGAACTGAGTCACTTCGGGGGGGCTGGCATCATTCTTGGCCTTGACCTTCTTGTTGTTCAAGAAGGACAGAATGACACCTTCCACGATTTCCTTACCTCTTATCGTAAACCCAGTCTTATTTGACAGGAGAAATCTGTCAAAGTACGCAGATTCCTTGCAATACTTAATAATTTGATCACGAACATGGCTGTTGTCCTTGACCATTGAGCCATTCAAATTGAACGGCATGTTGTCTTGGTTGACGCAACGTTCATATGCATGATGAACCAAACGCTGTAATATTTGTTAATAATTATTCAAACATACATATTTTAATTTATCTTACAACGAGCTCGGTTTGCTTGCCTCTATTCATCTTGGCAACTGGTCCAGCAGCGGGGGCTTGGTCTAACTTGCGTTGCAGATCGGCAACACAGGCAGACAAGCTGTTTACCTTTGCGGCGAGAGCAGCGTAATCTTGCTCTCCTTGACTTTTTCTTTTCAAGACGGGACCTCTAGGAGAAGCTGTCGAGACGACGTCAGGTCTTTCTTGGCGGGGAGTATTGTTGTTGCTCATTGTTAATGTTTTATGTAAAATACAGGCTTATTATTTCAGGGATGATGATCGATTTTAAATGCCAAATTTGGTGTGACCTTGCTTTTTTAAAGAATGATAAATTTTTTTTATTTTTTTATTTTTTTTTACATCTCTTCTTCGACATTTTTATTTCTTTTTCTTTTCCGTAAGTTCATAATAATGCCAGTTTGCTAAGTTCAGTGTGTCGATCGAAAAAGGTAACAAATATACTCACGCTTATACAAGCCATGTTAGTTTCTTCTAATCTGTGTTCGCCCATTTCAATTAGTAGCATTCCTTACCACCCTTCTTAAAAATCTGCCGTCTAATTTCCAGACAACATTGTTGGGTAAGACTCTATTATTTGTCCGTATGCAAAACTAATTCAATTAACAGTAAGCCATGTTTCCATTTTCTATTTTCCCTCAAGCTTTTTTTTCTCCCTGGCCCACAGATAATGGTACATTTACATGACTCATTCCTAGCTTTACATTAACCCCAATACCTTGTAGGCATAGAAGTCAAAGAAGTCGTCTCCGCTTTTTGAGCAGCTTGAAATCTACGTCATTCCCCGTAATCTTGAACAGGTATAATATTGTAGCGAGTTTTTTTTTTGTTTTCTTTTATTTATTTATTAACCTTATCTTTTAGAAACAATACACGATACGTATGTTTCAAGGTAAAGCTTCAATAATAGTAAACATACCAATCTTGAGCTAATTTTAAACAATATATCTTTTTTATGCATTTTTAGTGGAATTATGTGGACCATGTTCCGTCACGGACCTAATTGCAATTCTGATGGCTACCTTGTTTCTTATTAACACAGCTGGTACGTTTGTATGTAAGAGTGGATGGATCGATATAAATTTGGACGACAAGGAAGATCGATGATAGGTTGGATCAATGGTTTGTGTAATCAGACATCATTGCCGACAATGAGTGATGCGATAATGGATTCACGTAAGGTGTTTGTAAGTGGGATATTTTAGAGGTATGGACGACACAGTGCGTGGACACTTAAAACCAATGGCTGGATGCTTCAAATCAATGAATGCACGCTTAAAATTAATGGATGCATGCTTAAAACTGATGGATGCATGCTTAAAATTAATGGATGTACAGTAATTACAGTGATACGAATGGATACAAGGTGATACAAATGGGCGATCCCTATTGTTCTAAATGCAGGGTATGTGTATATTCGATTGCAGCCAATTTTCTATTTTTTTTATATAAATAAATCGTTTTTTCATCGTAATCCGTCCAATATGCTTTATTTAAATGTGCCTTCCAAACCAATAGTATAGATTTATGTAATAATTAAGACCCCATTATTAATATTAAAGACCAATAGTATAGATTTATGTAATAATTAAGACCCCATTATCAATAGTAAAGACCAATAGTATAGATTTATATAATAATTAAGACCCCATTATCATTCCTAAAGACCAATAATAAAGAGCTATTTCTATTATAAACAGTTCAGAATCAAGGTATTAGACCAATAATAGACGCCATATAGCTCATGTAATAGATAAAAAACTACATGCAATGAAATACGATACTGGCAATACCAGACAAAACATTATACATGTATAACTTGGAATACAGCAATGTAATATACGATATCATATATCCCACAAGCCAAGTTATGTCCTCATACCAAACATAATCTCAGTGTTTGCCGCAGACTCCGTCGTGTGCTCGTGGAATACATAGTATTCTTGGAGCCATTTCGTAAACATACGACATATTATTGGTCGCGTTCATTTAATATATAATTCCATATATCATCATACTAACTTTTATGTCGTGTGGTGGCTCAGAGAAGCATCAGAACCATCAACAATCATGGGCTTGACAATTTTATCTCTTCTTCGATAGTATAACTTAAGTGTTTATTGGTGAGGATGATGAGTACTAGTTACTCCCTCTTATGTTTCGTTTTAAATAATGAAAATATAGTAAAAATAAAATAAAGTAAAGGTGTGTCTAAAAAACTTCATATGTGATGAAGGAAAAAAAGTTAAAAATGGGAAAGGGAAAATGTTGCATGAATTTGTTGTTATTTTGACAGGTGATCTTCAGGGTTTGTTTTCGCTGATTATATAATCAATTTTAATTTGTTGCTGTTGTTTTTTGAGATGCTTCCGGATTACCTCCGATTGGTTGTTCTTCTGTTGCTGGTTCTTGAAAAATGTCCATTGCTTCGTTCGTATTTCTTCCTGTCAATATTTGTTTCAATTGGTCTTCGCTAATAATGTTTTGACGGTAAAAGCATCTTGCTACTGATTTTTTTACCGGCTCTCTAATAAATTCTAATGCTCTCATTGAACAGTTGTTCCTAATTTGCTGCAGTTTTGCTACTTTTTCTTCTGTCGATAGTCCTGCTAATTTGCTGTCTCTTAAATGTGAGATATGTAGGTAGTTATATTCCTTTGTGAATATACCCGCCTGTTCCAATTTTTTTTCTGCTGTGTCTTTATATTTTTCGTGTATTAATAGTAGTACTGTATCCCAATCGGGACAGTATGTATCAAGTACTTGTATGTTGTCGATTCCAACGTAGGCTAGTTTTTTTCTAATTTCGGATGGTTTCATTCGTCTTTTGCACGGTATATGTATGTTTATGAAGTTGTTGTCTTCTTTTTTTTCCTCGAATGTTCTTGTTGCTATTTCCAATTGTTTCTTGGTTGGGTTGTTTTGTCGAAAAAATTGATTTTTTCTTCTTTTGGTCCAATTGTTGTTGTTGTTGTTTTGTTGTTGTGCTATATTGCTTTTTGTTGCTTTTAAGTATGGGAACTCGTTATGTGAGTTTGTGTTGCTGTCCTGAATTTTACTTTGATTTAAGTTTTCTTCTTGATAGTTGTTGTTGTTGTTATTTGTTTCATTGTACTCTTCTGTTTCATTTTCTTCTTCCATTTCTCGCATTTTCTTTTTTAGTTCAATATTTTCTTTTTTCAGGTTGATGTTCTCCCTAATAAGCTCCTGCATTTTTTTTGTTTCTTTTTCTGTTTTTTCTAATCTTTTTTTTAGTAGCTTCATTTCGTTCCAGACATTTATTTCTCCTGCTAGTTCTTCGTCTTGTTCCATTTCTGTGTCTGCGATATCTGGCACATCATTTTCGTCGTCATCTTCAAAATCACTTTTTTCTTCTGTATCTGTTTGCATCTGCTCTTCGTTTTTTTTTGTTGTTTCATACTTCAAAATAGTTTTCATCTCAGCAAATGTTGTTCCTTTTTCGCATTGTTTACATTTGTATTGTGGTTTTGGTGGCTTTCCTTGGTTTCTTCCATTTTTTTGTATAGTTCCAATTGTTCCGCATTTGTTGCATGATATTTTTTCTCTTGCTCGTTCATATTGTTCCATAACAGCTTCTACGTCTGCTGTATACTTTACTTCACCTGTTTTTTTCTTGTCATTTGTTGTAACTCTTGTATCTCCTATCTGTCTTTTCTTTTCTTTTGTTACTTTAGTGATTAATTCTTGTACCTCTGCCGTTGTAAATTTCTTTGTACATTTTTTGCATAATAAAACAATCTCTGCATATTCTTCGTCTTTGATTTCGATATGATCGATTCTGTCAATGTTTAACCATGTACCTTTGCATTTGCTACATTCTATTTGTTTCTGATATTTGTTGAATTTGGTGATAAATTCCATTTGTTGTTCATTCAAATGTTCTTTATTTGTTAGTTTCAATGTGTCTAAGGCCTCGCTTGTTCCTATTCCGGGGGAAATTGGTGCACTCCTTTTTTTTCCTGTTGTGCCGTTTTTTGTTTTGTCCTGGTCTATATCCATTATGCCTAGCGCGGTTGATGGTGTATTGTTTCCTGCTTCATTTTTTTGTTCTTTTTCATTTGTTTTCGTATTTTTTTGTTGGGTCTTATTGTTTTTTCTGATGTTTCTAGTAACTGCTGTTGTTTCATTTAAGGTAGGTGATAAATAGGGGATACCTATCGTGACCTCCTGATCGTTGGGCGTAGGGTCGTGTGACATGCTTTGCTTGTGCAGGTGATATCTACTGCCCGACTTGTTTTTTAATTAGTTCCTTTTCTGGTCAAATTGATTTTATCGCTGATTTTAACGGGTGGCTTAGTCGAAAAAAAAGTATATAAGAAGGTGGATTTTAACGCGCGATAAAACTATCTTATCTTCTTCTTCGATAGTATAACTTAAGTGTTTATTGGTGAGGATGATGAGTACTAGTTACTCCCTCTTATGTTTCGTTTTAAATAATGAAAATATAGTAAAAATAAAATAAAGTAAAGGTGTGTCTAAAAAACTTCATATGTGATGAAGGAAAAAAGTAAATTATGGGAAAGGGAAAATGTTGCATGAATTTGTTGTTATTTTGACAGGTGATCTTCAGGGTTTAATTTCGCTGATTATATAATCACTTTAATTTGCGGTTGGTGGTTTTAGCCAATGGATAAGCGGGGAGATATCCTCAGGGTCTGGATTCATTTCGTCTTCTGTTGTGTGGCAAAGTGTTTCTATTTTGTTAAATATTTTTGTGAGTTGTATCCATTTTTGAATAAAGTAATTTTGCTTTATTCTGTTGCTGATTTGTTTTGTTGGTAGTTGGTTCAAGATGTAGTCGATAGGTGATGTGACGATTATCGGTACTTGTAATATTTGATGTAACTTTAGACATTGAGTTAAATGATTTCTAGTGGTGTTATTGTTTAATGTTGTGGCGCAGTTTTTACATGTTGTTGGTCGTCCGGGTAGCCATCCCATTCTCCATCTGATTATTCTGCTTCTTTCGAAATTATGCATAGGTAGATACATAATGGGATCATTTGCTATATTCGATCTGCACATGCCTACATAAAATTGTTCACATTGTTTTTGTATCATATTTTTTTTTAAATACTTATTAATTGCTTCTCGCAGCAATTTTTCCGTAATGAATGTGGGAAGGGTTCTTGAGTTTGCTGGCGGGAGTGGTAGAGATTGCCAGATCTCGTTTCTTTTTTGTAATTTTTTGAAATGAGTGTCGCGGGTTGTAATGACTTGTCTCAGCATTGTGTAAATGAGTGTGGTGTTAGGTAGCTGGAATGTGCGGTATATGTTTTTTGCTTGTAACACCATTTTCCGCTCTTCCATTGTTGCTATTTTGTTCATATGTTTTATTGCCTGTGTTGATGACGTTGCATGTCCATGGAATATTTTCCTTATTGCGTTGTCCTGGGCTTTTTCTAATAGCTTAAATGTTTTTTTGGTTGTATTGATAATAGATAATCCATATTCAAATACTGGTCGAACGAATGTTTTATAAAACCTGAGCGTGAGAAATTTGTCAAACCCGGAGTTGTTTGCTCCTATTTGGTGTATCGCTTGCATTGCCCTTGTTCCTTTTGCGCATTATTTAAAATCATATTTTTATCATCTATACCTGCACTGTTAAAATAAATTCCCAAGTACTTGCAAGATGTTTGGATTTCAATTTGTTGTTCATAGATTGAGTATTGTTGTTCATAGTAATTAATATCTTCGATGTTGCGTATGCTGTTTGTATCTGGTGATAAAATTAAGCTTTTGGCTGGGTTCCATTTATATCCTTTTTCATATGAGTGTTCCTCTGCTAGCTTCAACATTTGTTTTATTTCTTCTGGTGTTCCTATACAAGCTACATCATCTGCAAATAATAATGAATTAAGTGAGTAGGATATATTTTGTATTTCTATTTTTGTTGTATCGGCACCGGCTGCAGCTCTTAATTTTTCGGGTAAAGAATTGATGAAAATAGAGTATAAATGTGGCGATAAGGTTGATCCCTGTAATACACCCGTTTCTGTAGTAAATGGTGTGGTTGATTTTAATCCATTTTGAATAACTTCAATTTGTACTTCATTAAACATTTTTTCAGTAGTTCTATGAATGGTATGGACATGTTGCTTTTTGTTTTAAGTGTGTTCCAAATGATATTTCTATCTGTTACGTCATAGGCGGATTGTATGTCTAATAGTGCTACAACTGGTGCTTTACCTGTTTTTTGTTTGTGTTTAATAATTAGTTCCTGTAATATTAGCGCTTGGTCTATTGTGGATCTTTTTTCTCTGAATCCCCCCTGAACTGGATCCAATTTGATGCTTTGATTCAGTAGTGATGCATATATTGAGAATTCAAATATTTTCTTGTAACACATATGAGACTAATTGGTCTATAGTTTTTTGGATGTTGGGGGTCACCCTTTTTGTATATGGGTATGACTTGGGCTATATTCCATTTTTCTGGGAGGACTGTGTATTTCCAGCATATTTTGAAGATGGCGTAGAGTATTGGTGCTATTGTTTCGGCTATGGGCTGGAACATTTCTGCTTTGAGATGGTCCACTCCTGGTGCTTTATTTTTGGGTAATCTATTAATGGCATCTATAATTGTTTCCACTGTAAAAGGGGGTACTTGTGTATAACCTCCTGGGGGTGGTGCATGATCTAAAGTTAAGTTTTCTATTTGTGTATTTCTGATGTTACCATTAAACGTGTTTTTCCAATTGAGTGTTAGTTTATCGACTGCGTCTTGTGGTCCATCTATGCTTTCAAATGCCACGCGAATTCCTTTATTGGATTTGATGTTTTTAATTTTATTTGTTGCTTTGCTGAATTCCGTTGAGTTTAGTGTGTTGCAGAAGTTTCTAAAGTGTTTATTTTTTTCTGATCTTATTTTTTTTCGTACTTCGTCTGCTAAATCTAGGTGTTCTTTCCAGTATTTTGCTTTATTGATTCCTGTGGCTCTTTTCCACTTTCTATATATTTTTCTCTTTTTTCTGAAATATTTTGTAATTCTGCCGTCCAAAACCATTTCCATTGTTTTTGTCGTGGTGTTTGTTTATTGATAGTGGCGTCTAGCGATTCATATATTGACGTGCATAAGTTGTTTTCGATGTCATCAATTTTTTCCTGTATTTCATATGTTGGCATAGTGTTGTTGTTATTTATTGTGTCTATTAATGATTGTATGTGGGGTATTTTCTGACGCATGATTGTCCTGTAGTCTAAAATATATTTGTTTTCATTTGTATTTGTTTCTGTATTACCTTGGGTCGTCCCCTGTGTTGGGATTTCCCCTTTTTTCATAAATTTATTTAGTTGCCATAGTTTTCTTGGATGTTCTATTTTTTCTGGTGGGGCTGGTAGTGAGTGTATAAAAGAAAAAAATACTAGTTTGTGGTTGGATCCAAGGGATGCATCATCGTGTATTTCCATATATGGGTCGATTATGTCCTCTTTTTGTTGCTTAAAAATAGATCGATGATGCTTTTTTGATCTTCTGTATTCATGTGAGTTGATCCTTTTATATAGGTTGGTTGTCCATAAGTTAGTTGTTTGTTCCATAAATGTAATCCATTTTCTGCTATAATATTAAGGAGAGATGTACATCGTACATTGGTGATGGGCATATAAGTGTTATTGACTATTCTTCTGTCGCCTAGGTAATTTCCCATTCTGCAATTAAAATCGCCGCATAGGATTATTTTGTCATTGTTCATATTGTGTTTTCTTATTTCTGTGTTGATTATATTTTCGAACTCTTGTGTTGTTACTGTGGGGTTAGGTGGTATGTAAAAGCATATAATGATATAGTTTTTAATTCTGCATGTTAGTACGTATTTGTTTGTAATTGGATCTGTAATGACTGTATGGGGAAATTTCGGGTTAATTAATAAAGTTATTCCGTTTATACCCTTATATCCATTTTCGGCTAGCTGTGCATAATTATTTTTTGTATCCATGATGTTTTAAATGATTGTGATTCTAGGAGCCATGATTCTGTGATGAAAAAGAGTGAAGTTGAAGGATTGATTTGTTGGAGTGTGAAATCTATTGATTCCTTGGTCATTCCTGTTGCGTTCCATAGTGTGATGTTTAGTTTTTCACACATTAAATATTATTTTGGTGGTTTGTTTGTGTCTCGTCGTCGCCTTGGCTTTCTCCAACTGGGGCGGTTTGGTTCTCTTCTGATGTTGATTCTTTGAATATATCCATTGCTTCGACTACGTTTCGTCCTGTTAGTATTTGCTTCAGTTGGTCATCACTAATTATTTTTTGTCGGTGAAAACATCTCGCAACTGATTTTTTTACTGGTTCTCTTATAAAGTCGAGTGCTCTCATTGAACAGTTATTTCTAATTTGCTCTAATTTTGTTGTCTTTTCTTCTTTCGATAATCCTGTAAGTCTGCTATCTCTCAAATGTGAAACATGTAAGTAGTTATATTCTTTTGTTTGTATACCAGCCTGGTCTAATTTTTTTTCTGCCGTCTCTTTGTATTTTTCATGTATTAATAAAAGTACTGTATCCCAGTCAGGGCAGTATGTGTCCAGTACTTGTATGTTGTCAATTCCCACAAAAGCCAGTTTTCTTCTTATTTCTGATGGTTTCATTCTTCTTTTGCAAGGTAAATAAATGTTGATAAAATTATTCTCTTCTGTTTTTTCTTCAAATGTTCTTGTGGCTAATTCTAATTGTTTTTTTGATGGATTATTTTGTCGGAAAAACTGGTTTTTTCTTCTTTTGGTCCAATAGTTGTTATTGTTACTGTTGTTGTTTTGTTGTGTGTTATTATTTTTTGTAGCTTTTAGGTAGGGGAACTCTTCTTGTGAGTTCATATTGATTTCCTGGTTGTTTTTATCTTCTGTTTGGTTTATATTGTTAGTGGTTGTTTCATTTTGCTCCTCTGTGTAACCGCTATTATTTTCTGCCCTTCCTTTCCTTTATCTTTTTTGTCTATTTTTTCCTTTTCTGTTATGTTATTTTTTTGCATCTTTTCCATTTCCCCTAGTTTTTTTTTTAATTCGTTGTTTTCCTTTTTTAATTTTATGTTATCCCTTATCAACTCCTGCATTTTTTTTGTTTCTTTTTCCGTTTTTTCTACTCTTTTTTTTAACATCTTCAATTCAGTTAAAATATCAATTTTTTCTTCTATTCCGTTCTCCTCCTCCTCCATTTCAATGTCTGATATATCCGATATTTCATTTTCGTTATCGTCCTCAAAATCATCTTCCTCTCTCGTGTCTAGTTCCATTTGTTCTTCACTTGTTGATTGTGTTTCGTATTTTAAAATGGTTTTCATTTCGTCATATGTTGTTCCTTTTTCGCATTTTTTGCACTTGTATTGTGGCTTAGGGGGTTTACTTTGGTTGCTTCCATTTTTTTGTAGGCTTCCAATTGTGTTACATTTCTTGCATGATATTTGTCCTCTGTGCAATTCATACTGTACTACTACGGCTTCTATTTCTTCCGTATATTGTACTCCCTTTTTTTTTCCTGTTATTGTGTTTTTTTCTCCTATTTGTCTTTTTTTTTCCTTTGTGGCTCTCGACATAATTTCTTGTACCTCTTCCATTGCATAGTGTTTTGTGCATTTTTTGCATGTTAGTACAATCTCTGTACTTTCTTCATCTCCTACTTCCATGTTATCTATTCTGTTGATGTTTATCCATGCTCCTTTGCATTCTTGACATTCGATTTTTTTTTGGTGTTTGTTGAATTTATTAATAAATTCAATTTGCTGTTCATTCAAATGCTCCTTGTTTGCTAATTGTATTTCGTTAAGCATTTCGTCTATTCCTATTCCGGGAGAAGTTGATGCACTCCTTTTCTTTCCGGTAATGTTCTCCTGATCGATGCTCATTATACCCAATGCGGATGATGTTGCATTTTCTTCTTCTCTTTTTTTTTGTTGTTCATTATCATTTGTTTTAGTATTTTTTTGTTGGTTTTTGTTGATTTTTCTGGTGCTGGTGGTTGTTGTGTTTTTGTTTAAGGTGGGTGATAGATAGGGGATACCTATCTTGACCTCCTGATCGGTGGGCGTAGGTTCCTGCGACATGCGTTGTTTGTCCAGGTGATATCTACTGCACGATTTTTTTTTTTTAATTAGTTCTTTTTCTAGTTAAATTGCTTTGAATACTGCTTTATCGCGGATTTTAAGGGGGTGGCTTAGTCGAACACTCCCCCGAAGGAGGCCTTATTTTTCCTGATTTTTATGTCTATCTTGTGCCCTGTTAGACAAAAGATCTAAAATATTTATTTTGTGCACATCTAGATATTTACAATTTTTATGCAGATCATTTCCCTAGATGCGTACCCCAATAGTATCTATCTAGTCTCTAGATAGATATTTAAACTATCCCTATCTAGGCCTAGAAAAACCCTGATCTATTTACTTCTATGGGTTAAATTTGCATTGATCTTTGCAAAGGTAAGGTACAAATGCACTCTTGTTTGGGCTTAAATTTATGATGAGCTTGTTGCTTTCTCAGGCATAAATTT